TCCTTTGATGAACAGTAAGATACCTGTTTTCACGGAAGCTCTTTCCACACTCCATGCATTTATATGGCTTCTCCCCCGTGTGGATCCTTTGATGAATAGTTAGAGAACTATTAAAACTGAAGCTCTTTCCACACTCCATGCATTTGTATGGGTCCTTTCCTGTGTGGATCCTTCTATGAGATGTGAGGGAAGAGCTCTTAGTGAAACTTTTTCCGCACTCTATGCACTTATACGGCTTCCCTCCTGTGTGCATCTGTTTATGGGAACTGAGGTTACTGTGTTGGCTGAAGCCCTTCCCACACTCCATGCATTGATACGGCTTCTCCCCTGTGTGGATCCTTTTATGAAGAGTAAGAGCCGAATTTTCACGGAAGCTCTTTCCACACTCCATGCATTTGTATGGCTTCTCTCCTGTGTGGATCCTTTGGTGAACAGTAAGAGAACTATTTCCACAGAAGCTCTTTCCACACTCCATACATTTGTATAGGTTCTCTCCTGTGTGGATCCTTCTATGAGATGTGAGGGAACAGCCCTCACTGAAACTTTTTCCACACTCTGTGCACTTATATGGCTTCTCTCCGGTGTGGATCCGTTTATGGGTACTTAGGTTACTATGTTGCCTAAAGGACTTCCCACACTCCATGCACTTATATGGCTTCTCCCCTGTGTGGATCCTTTTATGAAGAGTAAGAGCCGAATTTTCACAGAAGCTCTTTCCACACTCCATGCACTTATGTGGCTTCTCTCCTGTGTGGATCCTTTTATGAACAGTAAGAGAATGGTTTTTAATGAAGCTCTTCCCACACTCCATGCATTTATATGGCTTCTCTCCTGTGTGGATCCTTTTATGAACAGTAAGAGAACTGTTTTTACAGAAGCTCTTTCCACACTCCATGCATTTATATGGCTTCTCTCCTGTGTGGATCCTTTTATGAACAGTAAGAGAACTGTTTTTACAGAAGCTCTTTCCACACTCCATGCATTTATATGGCTTCTCTCCTGTGTGGATCCTTTTATGAACAGTAAGAGAACTGTTTTTACAGAAGCTCTTTCCACACTCCATGCATTTATATGGCTTCTCTCCTGTGTGGATCCTTTTATGAACAGTAAGAGAACTGTTTTTACAGAAGCTCTTTCCACACTCCATGCATTTATGTGGCTTCTCTCCTGCATGGATACATCCATGAGATGTGAGGTAACGGCTGTCAGTAAAACTTTTTCCGCACTCTGTGCACTTATATGGCTTCTCTCCAGTGTGGATCCATTTATGGGAAGTCAACTTACTCTGTTGCCTGAAGGCCTTCCCACACTCCATGCATTTATATGGCTTCTCCCCTGTGTGGATCCTTTGATGAACAGTAAGAGAACTGGTTTTACAGAAGCTCTTTCCACACTCCATGCATTTATATGGCTTCTCCCCTGTGTGGATCCTTTGATGAACAGTAAGAGAACTGGTTTTACAGAAGCTCTTTCCACACTCCATGCATTTATATGGGTTCTCCCCTGTGTGGATCCGTTGATGAACACTAAGAGAACTATTTAAACTGAAGCTCTTTCCACACTCCCTGCATTTGTATGGCTTCTCTCCTGTGTGGATCCTTTTATGAACAGTAAGAGAACTGTTTTTACAGAAGCTCTTTCCACACTCCATGCCTTTATGTGGCTTCTCTCCCGCCTCGTTA